AAGACATTATATTTGACAACATTTAAAAAGGTGAAAGGTGGTACTTTACGATGAATACCTTTAGATGACATTGTCATGTCTGCCTTGGAAACCCACTGGACAAGACTACCTGTGACAAACACAAAAACCAAACGTACATGCTTATTACTGCATGTGACATCAAGGCACATAAAAATCAAAGCAATCAAGCAAGCACACTACGACATGCACATGTAAAAGAGCTAATGTTTATGGTGAATGTATGATTGCAAGGGTAAATCTCAGTTTGTAGTTGTTTGATGGCGTGTCAACGAGTGCCCCAAGGTCTTTTCTCCCCGTTTCTTAGGCGCAACCAGATTTCAGAGGATCGGGTACATTGCCAGTCCTACTACGGAGAGGTAAGTGGCTCGCTTCTTGCTTGCTTCAGTGATGCCATTCTTGACGATAGAATGGTCCAGTATTTAGACATACTCTGACAAGTCCTCTTCGAACACTTTCACTTTGCCGACAGCTATCTCATCTCCAAATGTGTCATATCTCGATGTTTGCGAGATTGTAGCTCAGGTGAACATTTTTGTTAGAGCTATGGACCGAGACGACGCTACTGAACACGTGGTGATTACAGTACAGGATGCGATACAGAGAATCACGTCATACACCACGAGTATAAAACACTTATACAGTGGGACCTCCAACAACTCCCCACACAGAAAAACCCAGTGTTAGAATCCCATATACCAACTGACATTAACTTTATATAATATGCACACCTTTCAACAACGAGTAAAACTTGCTGTCCCAATTTATTAATAGGTCCCACTCTATATCTCTTGTACACCACTGAGTTACTTCAGGACCAGTAGGGTTCTTACAAACCAAAGTGTTAACCGATTAAAAAAATCCTCATGCAACAACTCAAGGTTAGGCAGAAACTAATGATGGAAAAGAGTGGGAGTTGACCACATGCATAGATCATGATGTACTGTAAGAACAATGAGTATTTCATGTACATACCTTTATCTTCAGTGGTGTAAAAATATTCGAGACATTGCATCTTTATAATGCCTTTTCCAGAAAGCTTTTTCCCACTCCTCATGAGTCAATGGAAACACAGTTTGGGCAATGAGGATGGATATGGCATAACGCAATCTCAGGCAATGAGGCTCAATGCTCACAGGTTTAAGACTGAAGTTATCAATGTGGAGAATTTTGGCTACTATAGCTTCAAGGTCAACTACTCTTAGAAACTCTGTGTTATCGTTCCAGTTCTCGTCAGTGATTATGAGTAGCTCTACCTTTTCTTCTGCGTCACTGCCAGTAAATGCCTCGAATCTCCCTTCGTGGTACATGTGAGTTTCACACACACGTCTCCTGATGTAGTTATTGTATTTTTCTTCATAGGCCTTCAGTTTCTTTTGAAGGTCTCTTGACCCAAAGCAGAGGTCACAAATTATTCGCCTTAAAATTGAAAACTGGAGAAATGTCATTAAGTTATTCTTGATCAGCTCAAGGAACACGCCACTGATGGTGGTGGCATTTTCAAGCTTAATGAGAGGAGATACCTTTGAGAGACGTTTTACATGTCGAACATCCATTACACACACAACTAACTTCTCAACCTTACAGTTGATTTGAAGAAGATAGTGTTCAGTACGTGAGCGTAAAGATGCATACTCGTCCATAAGAAGTTCACTTTCTTCGTTTATTTTACGCTGCAAAATTTTCTTTTGCATTTCAGACATTGAACTCATTGAAACAACTGGAAAGGTAGATGCAAGTTGTGATACACCTGAAGCTAATCAAGAGAAAGATGGTTAGAAAATGCAACATTATGTAAGTACTGCTGAACCTGAATCG